ACTGATCGTATTTGTGATAATTTGATTGGTTGAAACACATAATCTCTTTGTGAAATAAAAATATAAAAGCAAACGAGTATGTGATCTTTCGAAGACACAAGATATTCAACACCAAGGGTAAGTTATTCAAATGTTCATCAGCTTAGTTGATCTAACACTGAAACATGTGTCCAAATTTGTGTATAATTTGTCAGTTACAGAGATAGTTGAATATAACAAATCGTTGTGGTCAACAAGTCGTACAGGCTTTGTGATATAAAAGTCATCATTATTTAGTGGAGTGCACTACAGGGAGTGGATTATGGTAGTGTAACATTGAGGGACGACCGAAGTTGTAATTGTGAACGTCAGAGTCCAAATTCGTAATCTAAATAGAAAGGACTTGACACAGAGAGAAGGTCAGCAATAGTGTACGTGGCGATAATAAATCGAAATGGTATGATTTGGTATTGCGGACTTGGTCAATCTTCACAAGAATTTCTTCATTTCCTCTTGAAATATAACCATCAGTGCCGTACTCAGTTGTGTTAAGCTTGAGGATAGTTTACAGTAGTTTTAGTAAGAAACACTGCCAAATTATTGAGATTTCATGAGTGGTGCAGTGGTATTCAACATTTCACTCAGTTTCACTAGTTCTGTAACAGATTGTGAAGTGATTAACTGCAAACAGATAAGAACGTATTATTGAAATACTGAAACAGATAAGTGTTTATCAAAATTTACACTAGGGAGCTCAGTGGCCATTATATACCCCACACGACGGGCACGAACTGAAGAAGCGCGATTGCGATCGAACGCTGTTATGTTATTGATACAACGGCACTGATTAGCAGGTATCATTTCCAAGCTTTGATTTGATAAGTTCGAATAAATTGAGGATTGAGTAGATTGTTACTAATGAATTATATATTGATGATATCTCAATGAGAAGAAAATTTAGATAATCGGACACATAGTGTAAGCCAGTTCATCAGAGAATGAATAACCGAATTAAAATTGATCAAAATTCAAATAATAATTGGTTTCATTTTATTTTGGTTACTTATTCTCAGAAGAAGTGGCTTATACTAAGCATCAGAACATCCAATTTTTCTACTGATTGGGATATTACAAATATATTATATAGTTGTGACACTGATGAGTGTTTATCATAACTTACAGTGGGACACTCATCGCTCATCAACGATACAACGCATAGGACTTGGCCACTGATTCGTCACCCAACAGTCTCAGTGTTTGATTTTAATCAGTCTACGATATTGTAGAACCATCTCACACGATAATGATAACAGACTTTCCAGTGAACTTCAATTATAAGGTCTTTTTACCCTACAGATAAATAGCTTAACTGAATTCTAGTCTGTTTCATTTCAGAATGGCCATTGAAAATATCTCCGTTATCGTGGCAATATTTACAACTCTATTACTCAACACTTGCGAAGCTATGAAGGAAAATTCATTTAAAAACACCATCAAACAGGGAGGTGATCTGGTCAATGTAACTATCTTCAACTTCACTGATCCTAACACCGATGCATTTGAAAATTGGATTGAGGTATCTGATGGAGGGAGATCTAAGGCTACACTAGTAAAACTTAAAGGACAGGTAAATTTTATTTATATATATGTAATTCAGCCAACATCACGTTTAGAATTATCAATCAGGGATATTGTTCTATCTCCTCACTCCACAAAAGAATGGACCAAGCTTTGCTGGAGTTCACAGGATAGTGCAGATTGATGTTTTGCCAGCATATGACGGTGTCATCATTGACCTACATAGACAGGGTCCACATTCTCATTTCAAATTGTTCTACGGCGAATGTTCGGACACAAGCAATTGTGCATCAAACGAATCAGTCTTCGAGGTAATGTGATATTTAATTGTGTAGAGCAACTCAATATCTTCTCTCTGAAATTTCTATAGACGTCTGGAGAACGAGAACAAGTGAAAATATCATTCCGTAATTCTTCAGCATATCTTCATGGAACACCACTATCTAATTCAAAGTTCTCAGGATTAACTCAGAAGTCACATATCGGTATCAAAGTATATGGAGGAAGCAATGCTCAGAGAAACCAATGTGGTCCAGGTTCCATTGAAATATTCACTATTTCAGCATATAAGGAAGGGTCGAATGCCAGCTTAAAGAGATCAAGTTTATGGGGATTCAAGACTACGTGATATGTGGTACTTATTGCTACTATGATTGTGTTTTGTTTGTATTAAGTAGCTTTACCAATAAATGTCACACATCTACCTGAGCGTTTTCAATGTTTTCATGGGTTTCTTAAAATTCACGTGAAGATCAGTGAAGGCAAGCGGTGATGAGAGTCAGGTACGTGATTGAAAACATATTCAAATGATTGAGAACAATGCTTTGTTACCTTATCTCTGATCTTCGGGTGTTCAACACACATCGATAAACGGTTTAATTTTAAGCTTCAAACGGATTGATAAATTTCAAAAAGGAATTCTTAACCACGAACTTATTATCAAGCTGTACAGTCATATGTCAATGCGAAAATCATTTGTTGTAATACACGTTCCGTGAGAACATACTAACTGAGAATAATCATGATTACGTAGTCGATTGACTGCAATACTAGATTACGTTATACAAATATAAACAAAAACTTGAAACGGTGGTAATTAACAGCAATGCGAAAGTAGTAAGTTTATAGTAATTTTGCTATCTGTTTAAGTATAATAAATTTAACTACATAAGTATGTTAAGTAAAATACATAAGGAGGCCATGAATGAACTCAATAATGACGAGGATTTGATTTTCACGGCAACTGAATACAGAACTGCAAGTTTTCAACTTGGCGAATTTTATTTCATTGACAAAATGAGGAACATCTTGAATGATTATCAAAATCTTTAGAAACTGAATCACCCTAATGACCCGTCTTTTAACTTTGTAAATAGATCGTGTGTAAAAGCTGTTTTACCACTATTTTGTTTCTCGCATGTGAACTTTATGGATGTGAGAAATTCACTGAATCGCTCAAAAACTTCTATCGAAACGGTAAGTTTATTAAAAAACATAAACTTTTCGTCCATAAATCGGCAGGAAACTGAAAATGTGTCAGTCCTCTGGGTCAGTCGAACATTCTCTAATTTAGTGAAGAAAATTTCAGAAGAAATGGGAGAATGGCGTGAAAACATCGCGACACTATCGTTTAGTCTATACATTACACCACTGAATTCGAAATGTCCGTCAATGGTATATTTTAGTTATAATTCACTGATGATATCCACGGAGTTAGAAGTCTTTATTTCGTGTGCTGTATGTTGTTCACAATAGCAGTACACAGTCTCTCTGAATAGGATATTTGTGAACAATCACTTGAGTGTTTATGATCTTGCGAACGAACTGTCATGTGTCCTTAATACTAGGCTTCATTACGTGTTTTTGGAGTGGTTTTGAAATGTTTACTCGTCACTTTGATACAGAATCAGTACTTATCTGCCTAATTGACTTGTGTAGGTTTGGTGGACCTACCCGTTGATTTGTGGGCTATATCAGCCAGCCGGTTGATTTATTTTCGTTGTTATATTTGTCAACCTTTTGCACTGTCATGTTTTGGACGTTTTAGTGATCATTCAAGATATAATTCATCTTGTCATTGTAGTCACTTTTGTCGAGTTGAACAGTTCCTCTTCTTTTGTCAGGTTTCGTAATAATCGAGTTCTCATCATTATTGTCCTAGTAGAAATCGCCATTGTGTTTCTAATGTAAAAGTCTTCTGTCGTCATAACTACTTTACTTAAACTGATAGCAAGAGTTCGTTCATCTGGCCACATTCACATTGTCATTCTTTATTAAGTTTTTAGGTTTTTTGGCATTATTCTTATAACGTCGAAGTTGAGAAGAATTATAATAGTTTATTATATCACATAAATGAAAAAGATCTCGAAGTAGCTAAGAATGAACACAAAATCTATTTCACACTTACTTAACTATCGAAAACAGCTATAATGATGTTAGCATCTCTAACTGGCGATTAGATTTCTCGGAAGTGGCAAACAATTTTTGAATAGTTGACTTAATGAATGATCTTCAATTTACCACCATTGTTTGGTCTATCGAAGCGTCCGAATCACCTATTAAAGGTACGCTCATAATCGATGTTCCAAATGAAAGAAATTGCGGTACTTTACTGAACGATGTACAAAAATAAGAAACAACCCTCAGACTGTTAGGTTTCTGTTGTATATACCGAATGTTTTTATGCCGAAATAAAAAGCTTCGTTAGTGCAAACTGACAGCCGTTTGCACTGACTATACATGAGACCGGTATATCAACAAGCAGAATTTGAACAAGGAGCAAATAATATAGAGACTGATGCGCTTAAACAACGGTTAAACGAATGCAGTCAATTGTGAATAACTGCTACATTAGTTGTGTTATCTTGAGTATAATAATGAATTCATTGAATGTTTTAAATATATGTATAACTATCTCAAAATTTTGCACAATGAACTTGCGTTCCTAAGTAACGAGAAGAAGTATAAGACAATAAACAAAAGAGTCCAGGTAAAGAGATCAAGGAGAGACAAAGTAAAACAGAATTACCAAACATTCTATACGTTAGTTTACTATGAAAACTATGTGACGTGTGCGTCCAGTCGTCCAATTTACGCCTCTCGATTGTAATTCAAAGTTTTTTTCATATACCTTATTAAGATGTATCGGAGAATTCCTTTTCAAATTGATTGTTCTATTATTTTGTGTGCTACTTATGTTGACAAAGTAGTATATATTGACGATCAGGAATAAAATGTCAGGAGGAAGGAGGTTGAGATGACCGAGGTGGGGGGAGAGAATAAGAACACAAAGCGTTTGGTATGAAAATGTAGGAACAATCAATTTTGATACAATTACTAAACAGTTTACAAGCAAAGTATTGGTGTATGATACTTCTACTTCATCAAGTTACTCTGTAATGTAACCGGTTGTCCCCACTAGCGTTCTTTTTTACAACATTTTGAACATATTTCTTTCTGTTAAAATAACTTTTTCGAGTAAACTTTTATCACCATTTGACCTGTGTTATTAAGCAAGCACTAGGCACATCTAGAGAATTTTTTTCAATAAAAATATTATGAGTTAATGTCACATCAAGCAGTTATTATTGCAAATCCAACATTTACATTCTACGGAAGTATACGCCCCAGTATCCACAATGAATATTTAACAACTAAGACCCACAAATGGGTAGTATCTTGTAAATAGTCACATGGGTATCATCTATTGGCCAGTTTATGTAGAGGTGAATTGTCATATCCAGAAATAGAATCACTGTTTGTTTCTGATCTTTAACTTTGATTTATTACAACTTTCTAAGTAGTAATTTGATTTACTATTGGGTTTTATAAGGATTACAACATATTGATTACTTAAATAACCGAATGACCATGAGCACACCATCACCGAATATCTGGAAGCACTAGGGAGCTGTTTTGATCCCCGTATGAGAAGAAACATCGTTGGGTACACATTATCACGCACAAGGATACCCAATCCAGCTTCAATGGGAAAGCCTATACTGTAGACATCCGGGTAGGCATCTAAGCGTGTTAATGTCAACCTTTGATTAGAACAGCAATATTGTACAAACGTCAACAAATCGTTAGGATGAAAACTGTCCTACACCTCATATGATTGGACCCCATGTTTCACGCTTTTCCATAACAACTACGTACTGCTATTTAACGATGATCTATCTAACACCCGTTCGTGATCTGGATTCTGGTAATGCCATTAGTTAAAATGATGTATACACACATGCATTTATATATACTACTGATTGTTCTGTTTATGTCATCTGAAAAAGTGTGACTGTCTGGTTTTTTCTAACTAAACCACTAACTTTGTTATGTTTCAATCCTAATGTGCTTTCAGTGACTAACGGTGAGTTGATCTAAGAATCAATATGATGATTGATGGCGCAAGAGAAACATGGCAAACAACAATGAATAAGAGAGAATGAGTGAAAGGTAGGGTGTAAAAGGGGAAGTGGCAAGAAAGCATGTTTAATTCAATAGTACTCATCTTGACAATTAAGTGAAATAAAATTGTTATTAGTGATAAATAATAATCATAAATGATTCGTTCAAATGAATTTCGTCTTCATTATTTACGTTTCTACATTCAACAGTGAATTTGACACAAGAAACATTGAAATGAATGCACATCATTAACAGCTATTGACTATTTGTGTTAGAGATCAATACAATACCGAATAGTTGGCTTGAAAGTATCCGTTTGAAATGCTTGATAAATGGTTGTAGACCATAGTAGACACAGCTCATAGCTGAGAAACAAGTATCCACGTTTTCATGTTAAGTTTCCATATTTTCTGTACGCATAACTTGGTGTTTTGCACTTGTTAATGTAGAATACTTTGAACATTCGACTATCTTTTTCGTAAAATCAAAAACATAGTCATCATTTTGACACATTTTTGTCCTCTTTGTATATGTGACATGGTGGACAACGAAAATCGTGTCTCACCGGATGTTAATTATCAACTGATAGCATTCGATGTAAATCCTGGATAAACAATGTAGACCATATTTGTACTAACTATCATACGTAATTGAATTTCAAGTTTTCATACAATCAAAAGTCAATTTTAATGCCCTATCAACAATATCACACGTGACTCTATAAGTATAAGCTGATAAGAAACTATGTCGTATTACAATTCATTTTATTGAGTGATTGTAAATCGAAGCTTTGATTATTACTATATTGTTACAATGGAATCGGTAGTGGTAATAATGAATCAAAAGGAAATTGACTGCTAATATTAGTTTATGGCACGACGATTTTGTAGAGGATGCACACTACCACTTCAATTAATATCATGAACACCGTTGGATGTCGAGCGATTCAGTGGTCTACATGTTATGCTTTCGCGCTCGCGCGAGTCCTATTATCTTGAAATAAAGTTCGTGGTGCTGAGTCATGAGTACACATGGCCGAGGTATCATATACTAGAGTGAGACAGCCGCCCATTGCTTCGAGGTATAACTTTTCAGTGATAACAATAGTTAAATAAAAGAAATCGTTATGTTTGGCAAGTTGTATTAGTTTTGTGAAACAAACGTCATCAATATTAGGAGGCATTCACCACTTGTAGTGGATGATGGTGGTACAATATTGAAAATCGAACAAAGTTACTAATATGAACTGTCAGAAGCCAACCTAGTCATGTTGTTGATTTCGGTTTTAATAGATCACAC